TACCAGGGGCTCCTGGCCTTACCAGGAGCACAGACGCTACCAGGGGGCGTCCTGGCATCGCTACGAACGGAGCAAGAAGCTACGAACGTAACAGTAGATCATCTCTTACCGAGTTACAGGAGATGAGACGCACCCCGACGCAACCGTGGACCGTCTCCACGACGGTCCGAGGACGTTGGCGTTCCTCGTTCGGTCCCCACCTGTGTCTCGGTCAATGGCCCGAGCTTCCAAACGACCGGAAAGGAATCAATGAAGCTCGACAGCACATGCCTTGCGTCTGTTTCGAGGCGCGAACGAAGAAAAGCCCCGACTCGCCCGACACGACTCGCCGGCCGAGCCGGCAGAGCGAGTAGGGACTGGTCTGTTCACTGGTGTTCACACGCTGGGAAGGGTGGAGATGTCCAACTTGCAGTTCTGGAGGTTCTGACATGATATGTATGTATATATATATATAGTTATATAAATTATATATATATATATACTAAGGACGTGTATGTACAAATGCTCGTGTCTATAACGGTACGCTCCTGCGGTATTTGGTCCATGATATTATCAGTACCACCCAGTTCGGGTGATTGACCCCCGTGACCACCCGAACTCGTCCCGTCCATTTTCCACCCAAAGGTCGGTGGTGCTGGTGCCAGGCCTAGACCGGACCTCATCCACCGTAGTTTCGATTAGAAGTGATGTGTGAAACGATGAAAGACCATCATCCTGTCTGGGTCATAGACTACCCCAGTCACCAGTCTAGGGCTGGGTAGTCTATGACCCAGACAGGATGACCCAGGGAGAAATCGACTCAAAACACGTACCTGTCAATGGAGACGAGTGGATCGTGACCCCCAAACCTGTCCCAAATAAGCCGACATACCAGGACCTTCCAACACGTGGTTTTAGAACCCTAACAGGTGGTGAACCTGGGCTGTTACAGGAAACCACCTGTTTTCCAACAGGAAACACCTGGGTGCCCCTTGGTTTGGACCATGAACGTAGAAGAACACAGGCTAGGATAGAGCTCCTGCAAGGCAAGGTCAAGAAAAACGTCTTTTCACCAGCGTCTGAAAACCAGTGAAGGGCCAGATGTCCCAAGTCTCTACCAAGTCCAAATCTGCGACGGACCTTTCAAAAACTCTTTTGGAACCTTTCCAAGAACTTGATCCAAGGTCTGAGGGGCAAAGGAAACTTCAAGACGAATTTCTCGCAGCCGGTCAAGGGAGAGGCTTCGGCACCGGCCAGATCGGCAAACCAATGGACAAAGTAGAAGGCCACATCTTTACTGGAGGTCTCCTCGTCCAGAGGCTTTCGTTCGTTCGACGGGGAAGAAGGATTCGGAGGTGGTTTTGGCTGGTGAACGCGGGGGGTAAACATGGATCGGACTTTGGGATGGAAGATTGTTTGAAATCGATCCCTGTGAAATCCTGTGAACACCAGAATCGAACCACCTGTCAGTGATTGTTTTTCCAAAAAAGCCAGAGAGTTCTCTGACTAACTGAGGGTCTTGTCGAGGCCCTTCTTAAAAACCGGACTCGGTCAAGCAGACTCTTACTGCCGAATGAGAGATCTGGGCCCCTCGTCATCTGTCGTCTACGCATGGCCACCGGCACGCAGTTCTGAACCATCTGCCGCTTCGAACCATTGGTCGGCACCCAAAAGAAACAAGGTCCTTTTGTTGTTTCTGTGTTTTTTGATGCTTTTTTTGCATCGTGTGTGTGTTTCCTTTCATCGTTCTTTTTCGTTTTGATGTGTCAACTCTTGGTCGCTTGGAAAGGCACCCACCGCAGACGCGTCGCGCGTGATCGCGCACACGCGTGATCGACGAGCGTGAACCCTCCCAGGGCCTTGGGCCGTTCCAAGATCACCTGTCGAAAAGCTCGGAAGAGCGCGCCAGGATGTGCTTCGCCCTGAACAAGCCAACCCATGTTGTAGTCCAGCTTGCAGTGGGTAAATCGAATGCACTCCTGCCGAGGTGTTCGATCAATCCATCCGGTGTTCCTACGAAGGCTTCACATTGACTGGGACGATAAGAAGGCTGAATTGTTGGGCAAAGAAATCCGGACCACCCTGACAAGTCATTCGGCACGATCATTCGGAACATGTGCTCCAGCTGGCTCATTCGATCGACCATCCAACAACTCACACGTCACAACCCCTTATATGGGATGTTTTTTGAGTCCCTCTAGACCGTGAACGCCGTAGACCGTTCTATCTCATGGCCAGCCCAAATGCCCTCGCAAGCGCTGAAACCAACTGCGGCGCCCGAACAATCGCGGGCGCAAGCGCGGCAAGCGCTGCAAGCACGCTTTTCGTCTAGTACAGATCGCCTGCAGTTCGGGTAAGAGCCCGGCAAAGGAGGGCAAGGCTTCAGGACATCGCTCGAGGACGTAGCTCAAGGCGATGTCATGGTCTCCAATCACCTCGGCACCAAGACCACGTATATAGCGGTTTGACGCACCGGTGGACATGCTAAGGGTTGCTGACTGTGGTTGTGGTGAGCACAGCAAGGGGCACTTTGATGCTAACACAATGTGTTTTTAACAACGGCTCAGAAAGCCCAAGCTGTGCATGTTCGAGCCATGATATATTAAACCCTGACATCTTCTCTCTTTCCAGACCGGTTCCTGCATCTGATTGTGAGATCATCTCCCCCCCAATCTTCGCACCAACGTCTTCCGGTCCGTCGTCTCGTCCGGCTCAACCCCTCAAGGGCCCCGTGGTCAGTCTCCGAATTCGTCGAACTGGCTCCGTCCGTCACGGTGCTTCTTCTGCGTGTCTGATTCGACTCGTAGCCAAGCTGCTTCGCCCGACTTATAGCCACAGAACTCGTTCATGAGCACCGTGGGTCTTAAAATGTCCAGCTTCCTCGTGGACCGCGACCGGAGCACGGACACCGAGGACCGATACAGTAGCTCTCGGTGTTCGGTCCGAGACATCGGAGCGAAGCCGTACTAAAACCCACCGGCCAAGCAGGTGGATGGTAGGCCCTTCTTCCTTCACAAAGAATTGGAGTCTGAAAAAGAAGCCCGGCCCTCGGGCCTATCGGAAATGGGACAAGTACCGTCAAGTACCTGTTGTTCTGGGGTCATGTCCCATGTTCTAGAGTGCTTGAAATCGGGTCGAGGAAGATTGGCAGTGGAGATGATTTACAGCTGGAAGTCTCCAAACCGCGTCCGGAGTGAACTCCCATGATCCAGTGCTCGCCCCGTTGGCGCAGGCGTTTCAAGAAAGGCAAGTCGGTCCATGGAAAGCTGCTTTGCAAGGGTAACGTCTTGAACTACGTATAACAGTTGCTACCGCTGCTAAGTAAAGTTAGCACAGTAGACCGTCTACCCTTGAAACATGTGGCTACAGCAAGGGTAGGGGTAGGGTCTTGCAACATACAGCTATGTACAGCTAACAGTTGCTAAGTTGTTCCAAGCGATCTGGTTCCCTGCAACCATGTCCCATGTCGTGGCATGTTGAGAAACACTTTATTCAGCACTCAGTTCCCCTCTCAGATTGTCAGGGTGGGAATCGTTTGGATCCTAAACCATTGAATTACATAATCCTTCAAAGAAAAAAGATTTAAAAACGACATGTTTCCTTTAAGGTTGGAAATACTCCCAAAAACTTCCCACGGGTTGTCTCCAGAATTACGAAAACAATTATATAAGAAATCGCAACAAATTATAGGATCAGCGTAACCCCAAAAATGCTTTTAAACCCATGTGATCCAGAAACCCACTCTATACAGTTCTTTCGCTCTCGTGTTGCCGGACGACGCATCAACAGTATACATGTTCCTTTCCACCCTGTGCGTGCGAGCGAAAACCGTCTTCCGCACGTGGACGCTGGACGACGCATGGGAGCCCCCGTTTCGGTTCGCGTCCGAGAAAGCTCCGTTCGTAGCGTTCCTAGTAGTACGGCCAGTTTCGCCCCTAATTAGTAGCTTCTTGTTGACGCTGAGCTGCATGATGTCGTGGATCGTCATCAGAACCAGCATGGCCAAGGTCCTCTCCAAACGTCGTCCGAACTCACGGAACGAAAGCATGCGAAAGCATGCGACCTGAAGCGTTGGTGATCGTCGACGTGTATGTTGTTTGTGGCGTTTTTTGGGGATATGTATGGATGGCATGAAGCCTTTTTTGTTCAGGATTGATCTGAGAAACGCACATTCGCAAAATGGTGAGTCTGCGAGCCATTGCTGGTATCATATCATGGCTACCAAGTTCCGAAAAGGGACGGCCGGGCCAAAAATCGCGTGGAACGTCACTGACTCCACACTGAAGCTATGAGTTCCCACCTCTTTCCCGTGCACCTCCCCCCGAAGTCAGCGCCGCCTTCCCCCCCTCCCGGCCACCGGTACCGGTCCTTTCCACGTCGTGGCCCTGCTTGGTCAAGAGCCCCGCGCCGCGCATGAGGTCCTCGATCGCGGACCAGTTCGCCTGTTCATAGAAGCTCATCCGACGCTGGAACTCCGCCTCCTTCCCCGGCACGTGCCTGTTGTGGCTACCACGCGGCGGACGACGCGAGCGGAGAACTGGAGTTTTCCTGGGGTAGCTCTGAGTCTGTGAGAGCTCACCCACACCAAACAGTTTCACAAGTGAAGACGTGACTAGACACACAAATAATCACAAATAGGCATTCTGTCATCATACATGTTGTGTGACAGTGTTTGGTATTGTGATTTATTCACCAAACAAGTTTGCCTGTATCCTTTCTATTTTGAAAGACTTGCTGGACGGTGGACGGTGGACGTTGTTTCCATCTCCCCGACTGTTGGTCGATGTTTTGTCTCCCACAGATGTTTAGCCCGGGATTCTCAGGATGATTATAACACCAGGCTAAGCAGTCTAAGGAGCTGGGAATCTAAGATGTCTAGACTCAGGTCCAACCGACGTGAAAAGGTCCAAGAGTCCAAGACGGTCGGACCCGGGTTGGGTGTGCAGCTTCTGTGGACGGTATAGCGTGGTTGACTTAACCTTATTTGCTAGACATAAGTGACATAAGTATGAACCATTCCCAACTTTGTTGACTCATGTTCAGTGTTTCTCTTTCGAGGCAGACAGCTCCCAAAATCCTTCGGCCCTGTGAGCGATGCGTGGCGCGCGCCATGTGCGCCCGGATCATCTGCCTCATGATTTCCTTGGCATTCTTCCACTCGTGGTCCAGGCCAAAGCAGAAACCTACGGTGTTCACCCTGGTTGGTCCAGGCATCCATCTGTACCTTTAACTCTCCACCACTCACATGCTTTGGTGGAAAAGCTTGGGACGGCTGGAAGGGGAAGTCACCGTTCTAAGGGGAAGTCACCACGCTTCGCAAAATGGAAAAACAAGGTCCCACCTACTGGGCGATGGCCTCCAACCTCCTACTGTGCTGTATTTAACATATATGAATATCACCTGTTGAAAAAATACCACCTGAGAGGGATCCAAGGGGGGTACTGTCCAACCTGACACTCATGACACCTGTATCATTCGGGAACTATGCCAGCTGCAGGCTGCAGACTGGCACCACCATTCAGGGAATGTGTGGCAGGTAGGCCTCTTAAAACCAAATCCCAGCAAGGCTTACACTGTTTCTTTGTTGCAACTTGCCAACCACCAACCCGGAATCTGATCCATGGGTGGATATGGATCACATTGGATCACAGTCAGTGCTGACTTTGAAAACATATTTCATGGAGTTACATTTAACATATGTAGTGCTGTAACAGCTTGAAATTTTCGCTGAGTCTTACAAGTTTCACTAGCGATAGTGAAGCATGTATGGAATTCTGATTTTCGCTGGAGCATGGATGATGTTCTGTTTTCGCTGAACAGATTTGCGAAAACAAAAGATGTTGGTGGTTCCAGCGAATTTGAAAGTTCAATGCAGTGATCACTAGCGGTAGTAAGACTTGTAAGAGGCTGAGAATTTTTCAAGCCCTTACAGCAGTGGATACCTTAAATGACAAAGAATAGACGGTATTTGTTCAAGGACCAATCCCAAGTCTGGCCAAGGCCCGAATACTAAAGTAGATGTAAAGCAAGGTCCCACCTCAATTCACTATCGCTATCACCCTGACTGTTTGGTTCACTGTCGCTAGCGGTAGTGAATGTTGTAAGGGACATCTCGCTGTCACCCTCACTGTTTAGGTCGCTGACGGTTAGGGACAGGAACATTGATAACTAGTATCTTTACACCACCACATTTTCACATATCTGAAATACACCTCAGCCTAGCGATGGCCTCCAACCTACTAGCCATGGAGACTGGAGAAAGTCAGAAGTTGATAGGAACTGCTCCTTCTCCCAAACCCCCACCAAAAAGCCTGCTGCGGGTGACGACTCCCGCTCCTCCTCCGTCCTTCCCCGGGCAAAGACAGTCCAGTCTAGAGCCCGCGCCGGTCCGGACGACGGTCGCACGTCACATACATAAGAAAATTACACCAGCATTGACCCAGATAGCTAGGCAGAATCCCACAACCTGTTGACGTGCGACTGGCTGGAACAAGAATGCACACAGCCTGCACAGCCAGCTTACGGCACCTCCACAGCGCGCACGACCAGCTGACACCAGCACCGGTGCGCTTTGCCAGCACCAGCACCAGCACCGGCACCCGGCACCCAGCACCAGCCGGCACCCAGCACCAGCACCAGCACCAGCACCAGCAACCTCTCCACCGCGTCCACACCCAGCTCGCACCACCACCAACACCACCAGCAGCGGCACCCGGCACCCAGCACCAGCACCGGCAACCTGTCTCCACCACGCGCACAGCCAGCTCACAGCACCAGCACCAGATACCCAGCACCAGCAACCTCTCGAAAGCGCGCGCGGGCAACTCATTGTTATCTGGGGAACTATTAAGGCAGTGCGAGCTGAATGCGTCTCTGTAAGTGTGCATGCGCCGTCGTGCGCCGTCTGCGCCGTCGTGCGCCACCGTGCGTCATCTGCGCCATCTGCGCCATCTGCGCTGCCATGCGTCTGTTTGTCGCGCATGGTGCGGGTGTGGCGCGGATGGTGCGGGTGGTGCGGATGGTGGCGGATGATGGCCGATCGTGGCGGATGGTGCGGATGGTGCGGATGGTGCACAATGTATAAAGGCACCTAATACCAATGGCCTCCAACCTACTACTAGTATCTACTAGCATGACGAACATGAGCTTTATGTCGGGTCGCATTCGCGGCCATCCAGGTGCTGTCGCATGAGCCAGAAGATGCAGAAGAGCGCGCCCGTGGTGCGCTGGAACTCGTCCGCGCCGGAGCGGTTGGCAGAGGTGCTCATCACCAGGTTGTGGTCATTTCCTCGGTTCGGTCTACAGGGCCCGGATCTCAGAAAGCGTGAAGAAGCTGTTCACATGATCATGGTTCACATATGTTCACATCATGAAGGTTCACCCTGGTATCGAACATGTAGGCACTTTTGCAATCAGAAGCCGCCACCTCCCTCTCCCATTCTTGACTTCCTAGTTGTTCCAGAAGAACTCCTCGACTGAAGATCCTCGTCTCTGAAGCTGGGCCTGTCCAACCCTGGGACAGGGGTGCAAAGAAAGGAATAACCCTACAATATAAGGCGACAGCTCTCCAACAACCACTTTCCACAAAGAAGGTGCGCGGCTTAAAGACGATCCCCCAAAACAACCAACACAGGCACACAAAAAGAGCGAGGAGTGACTTATCTCTACCACAAAGAAGAAGATTCAACAGTCAGTCAACACATGTCAGTGCTACATACAATTATAAATACAAACACACTTTAGAAAAACCAAAACAAAAAACACCGCACAGACCCTCGCACTGAATTCCATTCACTGCCCGACCGGTCTACCCCCCCTCTCGGTCGAGCCCGTCTACCTCGCGGCCGAGCTGCGGACCTCGGAGACCCGAACCACCGAGTAGAGGCGTAGCTCCGGGAAGGCGGCCACCATGTCTTCATAGAAGTCCTGGGGGAGACGAGGGGTAGAGGGCGACGGGCGACGGACGGGCGACAGCATCGACGAGCGACGGACAGTACAGTCCTGGTCGATTGGTTTGGGAGAGCAGAAGCGGTCGGGTCGATCGAAAGATGGAGTGAGGGTTCTTTGAAGGGAGAGACAGGGGGGAGACAGGGGGAAAAGTCTGAATTTGTGAAGGGTGTTTCTTTTTGGGGGGAAGGGGATGGAAGGGGGGAAGTCTGTTCAGTGTGTTTTGGGGCAATGTGTTTTTTCGTTGGAGGTTGTTTTTCATGGGGCTGACGCTCTGCTTTTTGAATGATGGGGTGAGATTTAATTCTTACAAGCAAAAGAGCTCGACCAAAGGTGCAGGGGGAGCTAGGACGGGATTTGAGGAAAAGGGAAGGCAAACAAGGGATCTGGCATCGCATCCATTTCTTCAAAGGAGCTTCAAAAGCGTGCATCTACCAGCAGTACCATGGAGTTGGGTGCTATCCATGGAGGAAGTCGGGGTGCCCCTGCCACATCCACTCACTGGACTGGATGGGTCTAAAAATCATCCCGAATTGGAACTTCTGTTATTCCATCTCCGCTGATCGCTACCGGCCCGAAGTCAGTGGGCAGATGGTCTCTGCCCGCGGACTGGTGTTCGAGCTCCTTGGTGGTATACTCCGGAGAGCGAATCATCTCCGCCGCTCTTCGTGCCTTCGCCCAGTCGGTCGTCTTCCCCTGCACGAGAAGGAAAGCAAACGGAGCGGTGCGAAGGAAAGCAACAGACCTGTTCAAGGGGTCGAACAGGCCTATAGTAGCCTCATCGCATGTGTACCAGTCCAGGCTCCCAGTTCAGGTCTCTCAACCAGTGGATGGACAGTCAGTTGTTTTGCAGGAGTGGCCCCTTCTTTCTGCCGGGGGTCAAAGACACAAGATCTGGAAGGCCCAGCCGGTGGCATCGGCTTCATCCTTCCAAGATCCAGGATCTTCATGGCATAAGGATGTTTAGACTCAGCTAGCTACATGTTATATAACCTAGTCTTCCAAGACCAAAGGTTCACATGGTTTTGTGCTGAGTAAAACGATTCAGGCTCAAAAAATCACTGGTGGGCCAGGAAGCCTTAGATCATATATCATATCTTTATGTATACCTAGATCTTCCGACGATGCAAAAGATGTTTGCCGTCTTTGACATGAAGTCGGTTTGCCTTACACGATCCAAAAAAGAAACACATACTTGGAAGGTCTATGAAGGTCTATCCACCTCTCAGCCGCCCTTTCACCACACCCGAACCCGACCCATCAAGACGCGCGGACGCGCGATGGCGACCTCCAGGACTCGGCTCACCAAGAGCTCGTTCGAGCCGTGTACCGGCAGCATCCCTGGAGGTGACACCTGGGATGGCCAGAAGCTCGGTGGAGTCACTGGAGAAGCTGGTTTCACCCAGAGAAGTTGGTTTATGAGCAGAGTGCGAATGCGAGGTTCCGAAGGAGAGTGTGAAGTTCGGTGCCAAACGAAAGAACAGGAGGATTTGGGAAGAAATGAGACAGTTCATGGGAACCTGAATCATGATGTTGAGGATTTGGAAGTAAAGAGTCGAGAACACAGAAATGTCAGGATACGTCGCATTTAGGGGATCAGTCTGGGGCAAATTTAGTTCTTTATACTCCAGCGACGAATGGGCCCAGCCTGGTGCACCTGGTTTGGGAGTATAATACCTGAGACGAATGATTTCCATTGCTTTCAGATGCTTCTCAATCCATATAGTCGTATAGCTCTGACGAACACATCACATGGAAGTGAATGGCCTGGCCCCCAGTTTTCGACGCCTTTCCTGGACGTTCTCACGGTGTCTTCCACGGGGGTGGTGTTTCCGCCCTCCGAGGTCTTCGGAGAGAAACCTTGGGGCCTCCCACTCAGTCTCCCCCTCTGTCTCGACCTTCTCTGCACGATGCTCTTCCCGGGCCTGGCCAGCTTTATCGACCTCCACAATCGAGGCATCCTCCTGCAAGTGACATGGTCGGACCAAGATCGATGCAGCAACCAGATCTAAGACCGTTGAGATCTTCCAGATGTTCTTCCAGCAACCAGATCTTCCAACAGGCAAGAACAACAGCGCCAGTCCGACCACGACCAACAACTAACATGGCCGCCCATGGCCATCACCAATCGCCACGAAAGCAAAGAAAAAAAGCGATCGCTCGATACTAGTAACCCAGCCTTCCACATCCTTCCAACCCATCTTTCAGTTGGAGGCCATGGCCATTAGGATGGAGGCCATCACTGTTAGGTTGGAGGCCATCGCTCTTAGGTTGGAGGCCGTCTTCCTCCGTCTTCCTGCTCTAAAGTCTCGGTGAATTCTTCCCAGTCCTTCTTGTCGAAGAGGCTGGGCGGTCTCAAGACATAGTTCTGTCCTGTGGATACTTGAAGGCTCCAAGAAAAGCAAAAGTACAAGGAACGATATGAAAAATAGTTCATATACGTTATATCGGTATATCTGTTTTGTATATTTTTCTAGTGTTCTTTTCGTTCTTTTGCCTCAATAATTCTGTCCTGTGGGTACGACCCAACCCCATCGCGTCACCACCACTTCCGTCTGCCCTGCCACCTGACAACGGTGGAAGGGGCCACGATGCGTTTTTTTTTCTGGTCACCACGAATTTGATGGGTTCTGGGCCTCGAGCCAATTCCGAAACCTTGAGTTTGGTGCTTCATTGTTCTTCATCACCTTCTTGAAAGTGATGTCAGGACATTGATGAAAGATGGATGCGCTGCTCAAGTTCTCCTGGCCCTGAAACAATACTTGCCTGTGCATGTTTGACCAATCATGAACATGGACACAGCCTAGGTGCCTATTTCGTTGAGAGGCAGCTTTACACGGCCCACGTGTCACTTCTGTTGTTTTCATGAAGAATTCGAAAGACGCCACCGACATTCGAATTGCATTGGCAGTGATGTGCCTCATCCGAATCTATACGGAGAAATGAGGACATCTCATTGCTGAACCCTTGACGCCATGCCGTGACACCACCGAACGCGAAGTCGCGAGAGGTGTGGCGATGTGTGGCGTCCCCGCAGGCGTCGTGGTGCCCGAGTTGACCCTGGTCGCGCGCAGACGCGCTCCCCTACCCCTCCGGCGCCGTTCTAGCGAGGCGTTCGGCCTCGTTCTTCCGAAGGTAGGTGAAATCGAAGGCCCCGGGAAGGCCCAAGACGTCCCAGCGCTGGTCGTAGGGGTGCCGCACCTGATAGCTCGAGGGTTCTCTCATGTTCTCTCTCTTTCTTGGGGCAGCGGTTCGTTCGATTCCCACCTCAATCCCAATTACCACACCGCGGTTTCTAGGTTCACAATTGAAGTCTGAACCTCTAGTTACCTATATACTGTATATAGTGGTTTGCCTGGATCCACTGGCTTCCAGGACATGGATCACATCGTGGCCATTCTCGTCACCATGTCCCGAAAACCGCCTGGTCACCAGTCCGCGAACGAACACCTGGAGGGATCGGGTCGAGGGGTCGCAGGGGTCAAAGCAACGCCGGACCGGTCGGGCTGTTTTCGCGAAGACTCGTCGGGCCGTCTCTTCCGTTCAGCCGGTTTGAGGCGTGTATCCTCAAACAGGCGTGTGTTGTCCTGAAAGAACGCCGGGCCTCTGCGTGCACTTCTAAGATGTCATAAAGGGTTTTCAGGCCAGGAAAACTCCTGAGAGCAAGTGGACAGTGAACTACCCACCAGGTCGGTTAAGTCTAGCTCATAGCGATGTGGGATTTCCCACCACCCGTGGAATTGAGGGTGAGGGGTCCAAACAATTGATACTTAAGGATGAAACAAAAACTTAGGAGATCAACAAGAGAATTGATAAAGGATCAAACATCCTGAACTGTGGGTATTTACAGCACTCTCGGGCACCCAAAGGGTCAAGGGAGTCGGGCAGGCTCTCGTTTGATGCAAAGGTGCACAAGGTTAGAATGGTTTCCATCGTTGAAACTAAACCCGCACTTGGCCCACCAACCAAAGGGTGCGTTTTGCCCTGGAGTTGCCCACTCAAAATTTGTTGGGGGTTGGCCGCAAACAAAGTGAACAAGATCTGACAGGCTCTTATGGCCGGGTTTTTCACAAGAGAGCGTGTATGCTTTATGGTTGGGTATGGTTGGAATGGTTTGTTCCTGCTCTAAATGTTACCCTTGGCTCTGGCAGATGTGTAAGGCTGGAATAGCTCATGTTTGATTTTGAATTGTCCCTCACATGGCCCACAACTCGCTGGGTTTCTTCCAAAATTTACCCTGGGGGCGGAGCCACACCATGATTGTTTGCCCTACCTTCATTCGACCACAGGACACATAGGAAACCAAAGAAACCCACAAATCCGACATAGAATAAGGGCTTCGTGGCAAAGCCGGAGCTAGGGGCGCTAGGGAAGCTGCACGTGCAAGATTTCGTGGTGCCGGAGAGGGGCTGGGGGAGGGCGCAGGGCCTCCCCTATCACACGGAGAGAATGACAACATCGAGCCCAAACAGACCGGCAGTAAAAGGATAAGAAAAAAACTAGAGTGAGTAGAGGCCATAAAGAAATCTTGGAAGTATGCAAACACGATGACAAACGTTGTGGTGATGTTGATGATGATGATGATGATGATGTTGTTGCTGCTGCTGGTGGTTGTGGTGATGGTGACGGTCTCTCTAAAACATCTCCGACCAGCTCCAGCTCATTCCCTGGGGCAGCTGTTTAACGTGTTTCACACGCAAGAAACCACACCTGTGGACCACACCGGAACGGAAGCCTGGAACTTCCGGAACGCGTCCTGGAGTACTCCACCTCTTGACGCCTGGCAGCAAAGACCCGGAACCTGGGATACACGGTTTTGTATTTCCATTAAACATGAGAAATAGAGAGGGGAAGAAAGAGTTCCACCTGCCCACAGGAGCGAACTCAAGTGTGCTTCTGCTTCCGACTGGGCCTCTGCGCCAAGCGCATGCGCAAAGACGTGCACCATGCTGTTGGTTGCGACATGTTCTAAGGGCCTAGGTCCCCACAATGAAAGCTGCTCAAGGAAGTGGTGTTCTGGCCTCGACGTCAGAAAGTGTTTCTTCGTCCACAGATGCATTTCCGCATCCATTTCAACAGTGGATGTGAACTCAAGTCGAAATTGAAACACCTCCAAACCGTCCCAACACCTCAACTTGACATCTTCATCTTCCCAATCTTCCCGGCCGCCGAGAGCAGCCCTCTCGCCCGCGAGTCGCTCGAGCGCGGCCCGAGAGCCTGCCCACCAAAGAGCAGTCAAGCTCGTCGCGCTGCAGCTGCTCGGGGATCCCCAGTCTTTGGTACAAAGCATCTCGAAGGGCTTCCTGTCGGATGGCGGATGCCGGATGGCTCGGCCAAAACTCCTTGCGTAACTCGGTCCAGCAGGGAGAAGTCCCGGCCGCCCTCCCGACAAAGAAAGGTCTCCTAGGATGACAAGAAACAGGTCATGTGTGTGGTTACTAGTAGCTTCTTGTTCCTAGATGTTCTTAGTAGCAAAGGCCTCCAACCAAAGAGCGATGGTCTCCGACCTAAGAGCAATGGCCTCCAACCTAAGAGTGATGGCCTCCAACCTAATAGCGGTGGCCTCCAACCTAAGAGCGATGGCCTCCAACCTAATAGCGGTGGCCTCCACCTAGTCCAAATTGAGCTTATTCTGACACACCTGCAAAACCTCCAAGGCCTACTGCCAAACCATTGTCCCCGTTATCCAGTACGTCTACATCTACCATCCTCCAACGTGTCATCAATTAAGACCTGTTACGGCCCAACAAACCTTTAGAGAAGACCAGTAGCAGAACCACAACAAGGAACACCCACGGGAAGTAAGTCGGCCCTTTTTGGTCTCCCCATCACGGTCCGCATCGGTCCGCCGATCCGGTCCGTCCTGCCAACCATGACCTTCCCTCATCTGCATGGACAACGTCCGTAGCTCTCGGATCTCGGGAGCGCCTAGGGGAGAGAAACGAGACTTCGGAAAAAACCGATGGCCTCCAACCTACTAGCGGCCTGCAGGTGGATCTCAGACGAGGCTGATCTCCAACTAATGTGTAGAACGTGGCCTCCAACCTACCTAGCGATAGCTCTCGGATCTCGGATCTCGGCAGCCCCAAGAAAGAGGTGGTCGTTTCTGGGGTCCGGAGCCGGTCCCAGAACCGAGGAAAGAAGACGTATCTGTCTTTCTTTCGGCATCACAAAGCGGATTCCCCTCTTTTCACATGCCCACGTTTTGATGTTTTGGAGATGACCAATCTAAATGTGCCTCTTCTGAGTCGGACCTGGGGGTTGGTAGCCACAGCTCGAATCAACGACACAAACCTCCAGCTTTACTCTGTGAAAATGTAGAACAATGAACAATGTACACATTGCAACAATAAATCCTTCAGCCCCCTAGATAGATTCTTAAACTTCAGCTTAATTGATTGTTTCTTGATGGACGAGTAATTATTGTGTGCCTGCTTTGGAGATCAAATTGCCCATTAGGCAGATTTTGTGGGATAGATTCTTGTTATGTGAACCTTACAGATCATCTACGTCCCCAGAAAGAAGACCGGGATCTGGTACAGGATTCTCACACGCTCTCGCACACGACCTGAGCCAAACAACTTCGGTTGTTCGCCATGTCACCTTCCTTCTGCTTGTTCTTCACCACCAGCACGTGCTTGCAGTTGAGGATGCTCACGCAAAGCCAGACCTTGATGACCCTCAAATTCCGCACCAAGTCCTTGTCCACCACCTGACCGGCAGAAGTGACACGGGCCCCGCCTTTAGCGGGAGCGCGCAGAAGTTCGGTGCCCACAAAAAACACAAAAAGAAGGGAGAACACCTGGCTCTCTAAAAATAAAATGACCCAAAACACACCCAGTTTTGGGCTGAGTAAATCAAACGAGTTTTTGACCAAAACGAGAGCGCTCTGTCCTCCTCACATGGGACCCGGGAAAGCCAACAAAAGAGCCGCAGGTGTCTGGCAACACCGCGCCAAAAGCTTTCTAGAAAGAGGAGACATCCAAATACACCAAACCAATAGCTCATCTACGTTTATATTAGTTGACTTCCACCCTCACCCTCGGCCTGAAGTCGAGACCGTCGCTTCTCGTAGACCTCCTCGTAGAGCTCTGCGAAGCTCCTCGAGGAGAAATCGATGCCATGGCTCTGCAGTAAACGCATGAGCTCCTGCGGAGGGTGGAGAGTGAGTGGAGGGTGAGTGGAGGGTGGGTTAGGACGTGCAAGGGTGGTGCTGACTCACAACCTTTCGGCTACACTGCGTGTATGGTTTTGTTTCTTGATGGACTCAAGCCATCCCGAGTTCAGGCACCAGCTCAAGTATTGGGTTGCAGTTCGGACGTTCGGGTGCATCAAACGGCAGTTCAAATCCCCGCAACTAGGGCCGTATTGGACTGGTAGGATTTTTCCCAACGCAAGAGCCTTCGTGCGGCCGGGCTTGGACCCAGGATCGGTTCCGTCCTCTTCTTTGTTGGAGACGATCTCGACCCAGGTCCAGTGATGTTGCCCGTGGTGATTCGTCTCAAATTCCTCCCCACCGGGGAGGCCGATGGGCTTCAACTCCGCCTGGCGCGATGGCTGACCGACTGATCCCTCAAGGACGGTAGAAACCGGACGAAAAAGCAGCGCTGGACTACCCCACACAAAGGCAATGCGCGGAGGGAGACTGCAGCGAAGGGACACATGCCTTCAGGCTTTGTCGCTTTCTGAGAACCATAATCAAGGAGCAAGTAGCTCCTGGTAACAAGAAGCTCTTAGGGGCTCCTGGCATCGCTACTGGGAGCAAGGACGCTACTAGGGGC